CAGCCAAGAAATTAAAAGATGCTTGCTCCTTGGGAGGAAAGATATGGCAAATCTAGACAGCATACTAAAAAGCAGAGACATCACCCTGCCAACAAAAGTGCATATAGTCAAGGCTATGGTTTTCCTAGTGGCAATGTATGGCTGTGAAAACTGGACCATAAGGAAGGCTGAGCGCCAAAGGATTGAGGCCTTTGAATTGTGGTGCTGGAGGAGACTCCTGCGAGTCCCTTGGACCGCAAGGCGATCAAACCGTTCAGTCCTAGAGGAGATCAGCCCTGACTGCTCTTTAGAAGGGCAGTTCCTGAAGATGAAACTCAAATACTTTGGCCTCCTAATGAGAAGGAAGGACTCCCTGGAGAAGAGGCTAATGCTGGGAGCAATAGATGGCAAAAGAAGGAGGGGACGGCAGAGGATGAGGTGGCTGGATGGAGTCACTGAGGCAGTTGGTGTGAGCTTGAGTGGACCCGGGGGATGGTGGAGGACAGGAAGGCCTGGAGGAGTGTCATCCATGGGGTCACAATGGGTCAGACACAACTTCGCGACTAACAACAAATGGAGTGAGAGATGGGAATAGCTCCAGTTCAGGGTGGCCCTTTAGGAATTGTCAAAAAAAAAGGAGGAGGAGGAGGAGGAGGAGGAGGAGGAGGAGGAGGAGGAGGAGGAGATGCATCACCCAGAAAAGAAGACAGAATGTGGCAATGACTTGAATAGGCCAGTGCAGTGTGCTAGTTAGAGTGTTGGGAACCTGGGAGATCTGGTTCTAATCCCCACTCAGCCCTCCCTCCCTCCCTTCCTTGAAGCCAGATTCCAGCTAGACATCAGGAAAAAATTCCTGACTGTTAGAGCAGTACAACAATGGAGCAGTGACCTAGGGAACTCTCCCTAGAGGCATTCAAGGGGCAACTGGACAGCCATCTGAGAGGGAGGGTTTGACTTGGAGTCCTGCACTGAGCAGGGGGTTGGACCCAACGGCCCTCTGGCCCCTTCCAACTCAACTATTCTACAATTCTATGGTAAAGTTTACTGGGTGACATCAGCATCATTCATCATCAGCAGGGTCTTTTTATACTGTCTGTAGCTGAAGCTCTCAGGGCAGCTCAAAGCATTTAAGTCACCCATCCAGATTTCAGTCAGGCCTGATCCTGCTTAGCTTCCAAGAGTCAGCAGGATCAGACACTTCAGGCCAATCATTCACTCTCAGACAAACCCACCTAACAGGGTTGTTGTGAGGATAAAATGGAGCCATGTAAGCCACCTTACAGGAAGAAAGAAAGGTGTTGTATAAATACAGTGTACTACTACTACTAATGCTTATGTGCGCTATTGAGTATGCACAGATGAAAATTTAGGAATTATCCTTTGAACTCAAATGGAAATGAAACACGTCCTGTTGTAGCACAGAAGACTCTGACCACGTGACTCGTGCGACTGTTCAGCCCGTTGCCCAAGTGCTCGTTCGGGATGGGCAGCAGTTCCTATGGCTCATTCTTTCTGAACTGGAATCAGACAGGACAGCCCCCTTCAAACAAAGCATACGTTCAGAGAGAGCACACCCAAAGGGTGCATGTGAGTGAACGGAGGGTTGTTGGCAAGGACTCTGAGGACCGCAGTAGCAGTGAGATAACCACATTTCTTACTCACTCATCTGGTCTGCTCATGTATAAAAGGGAAAGGTTTCCCCTTGACATTAAGTCCAGCCAGGCCTGACTCTAGGGGGTGGCGCTCATCTCCGTTTCCTAGCCGAGGGAGCCAGCGTTTGTCCGCAGACAGTCTCCGTGGTCATGCGGCTGGCATGACAAACACCAAGGTGCACAGAACGCTGTTACCTGCCCACCGAAGGGGTACCTTTTCATCTACTTGCATTTGCATGCTTTCGAACTGCAAGGTTGGCAGGAGCTGGGATGGAGCAACGGGAACTCACCCTGTTGTGCAGATTCGAACTGGCGACCTTTCGATCAACCAGCCCAGCAGCACAGTGGTTTAAACCAATGCGCCACCTGCAGTCCCTTGCTCATGTATACCAATGCATATTTAGACAATCTGCGTGAAACCAGGAAAGAGGCATGCTTTCATGCTGTACCTTCCTCTGGTCTATCATCCTGATCCATCCCATGCCATCTGGCTAACTCTAACATCAGAAGAGGGCCAGGCCCGGGAGAGAATAGCGAGGGAAAGCAGCAAGAGTGCCCCTCGTGGTGTGAAGGCGAGACCCCAGTGCACTGGAATGTTTCACATGTGAATGGCGCAGCTGAAAAAGGCTGTCCCAGGATGACTGCTTTGTAAACAGAGGGGTCCCTGCCTGTAGTTTATTCGCTTTCGGGCTGACAGGTTCAGTCTTAATAAACAGAGATTTTGATGTTGATATCACGTGATTTGGCAAAGGGCACAGGCACTGAGGGAGATGAGGCAGAAATGAAACCCCGGGACCCATACAGACTTCCAACATCATGCAGGAATTGTGCAGCCCCACCTTCAAACAATCTCTCTCCTCTCTTTAACTGGAGCAGAAAGAGTTTAATCTATTGAGCATTTCGTTCTGTTGGGGAAGTTTTTTTCATGTTAATGTAAAACCTAAAAACTGTAATCTATGGTGAGCTAGTTACAGACACCTAGAAAAAGTTGGTCACCCCCATGAAATTGTAGTTTGAGTTGGATGGAGGTGCCACTTGTCTAAACTGCACAAAAAGCATTTGGTAGAGTTTAGGGCATCTGTTCCTAGGAGGCAGGAACTTGCAATTTCTGTGTTTTGCTATTTTGCTTATAGAACTTTGCAAAATTCACATTTCCTTATAGTGAATACCCACAATTGTACACAATGGCCAAAAGCTAAAGTGTGGTAGCAGATACATGACAAAAGGCAAACGTGCTACCTCACTTTTAGTCAAACAGTTTTAAAATTCCTTTTTTATTCTGGAAGTCTTCTGTTTTATACATATCATGAGTGGAATGTGCTAAATCTGTGTAGGACTGGGATTTACAGTATTTAAGGTAATCATACTAATCATCCTGCTTATGATTAAGGCACACAAAATTTGTGTGTAGCCTATTATAAAACTTGTATGGTATTGACCAACTTTGCCTCTGCATGTGGGATTCTCTCATGTGTAGTAAGACAGACTTTCATTATGCTTCAGGCATAAACTATATTAATACTCTAGATGAATTCTCTGGTGTCTTAGTAATTTCTCCTTAACTGTAAAGTTTTTCCCACAATCAGGACATTTGTAGGGTTTTTCTCCTGTATGAACTCTCTGATGTTGAATCAACTTATCTTTCCTATAAAACTTTTTCCCACACTTGGGGCATTCATGTACTTTCTCACCAGTGTGGATCCTCTGATGTCTCAACAAGTTTGTTCTCTGATTGAAGCACTTCCCACACTGAAGACATCCAAACGGTTTTTCTCCGGTATGGATTATCTGATGGACCATTAATGTTCCTCTAGAAATGAAGCTTTTCCCACACTCGAGGCATTCATAAGGACTTTCTCTTGTATGAATTTTCTGATGTCGAATAAGCTTAGATCTCGGATGGAAGCTTTTCCCACACTCAGAGCAGTCATATGACTTCTTTCCAGTTTGGATTCTCTGGTGTGTAACAAGACATGCTTTTTGCTGATCATTTCCCCCCAGCACAGGACACACATAGTGGTCTTCTCCAGCATGCTTCATTACAATTCCTAACCTGTAATTGCATTTTCTACCAAGCCTGGAGACCAAGAGTTTTTTTGGCTTAGACTGTAAGGTGGAGGGTTCGCTCATGACAGTGGTAAGACCTCCTGGGAACGCACTGGAGGTTTCCTCTTCCTCCCCTCGCTTCTTCCCCTGTTCCCCTTTGGACTCATATCTTTGCTCATAAAGCGTTGCTGTCACAGGTACATTCCACTGATAAATCTCTGCTAATGTGCTGTGCATTTCTTCTGGCAAAACCTCTCCCTGCTGAGAGTTCTTCATCTTGATCACACTTCTCTTTTCATCACCTGAAGAGACAGAGAGAGGAATTTTGTCCATGCTCTGGTCACTTCTTATTCATAGTCCTGCAATAACCTCTTTTTCACCGACCTTCCCTCCTGTTCTGTCCGTTCTCTGACTGATTAGGGTGGAGGTGCTTTGCAAAACTCATCTTTCTCTCTCCCTCTCACCCTTGTTCATTGACTCATACAGTCGGAAGGGGCCTAGCAAGCCATCAGGTCCTGCTCAAGGCAGAACTCAAGGCTCCCATCCAGATTTAAACCAGGTCTGACCCTGCTTAGCTTCCAAGATGAGGCAGGATCAGGCACGTCAGGCTACATGGAAGCTATAGTTAACTGCATCCAGACTAGATGGAGCTGTCCTTACATCCAGGGCTGTGTGATCTGAAGCGTGAAGATCAACTTCATGTAGGAAGGCGATCACTCAGGTCTCCCTGAATTGCGTGACTTGCACAAAGTGTGCAAGTTGAGGAAACAGGCTTACTTCGGCCTACTTTAGTTGGTTGCAATTTGCTAGCCACTGCCATGTGTCTGTTTTCCCAGGGCTGAAGACCATGCCTGCTGGGATCTGTGGTGCAGCTACGTCTGGCACCTGGGTCCCAAGTCCAACCCTCCCTCCCTCAAACGACCACCCAGCGACCGGCAGAGGAGGGGGCAGCAGCGAACACACCCAGAATCAGCAGCAGGACTGGCATTCTTCTAGTTGGAGAAGCCGGTGCGTGTAGCATCAAGGCAGCAGAAACAAGCTGCCTTTTATTCCTGTAGTCATGATAGTTCTGCACTAAATCATGATTAAGACACAAAGCAGCACATCCTCAGTATTTTTAACTAAACGTTGGGAAAGCGTCGCCGTGGTGGTAGAAAGCACTTTTAAAGAAGGACAAGGAATGTTCACTGTGTGTCCCACAGGGCTGGCATCCAGGGCAGTGACTCACTCCAGTTGCTCTTTTCCCTCCACTGGTTTGTTCATCCGCTGCTCGCTCTGGCCCAGTCACTGGAAGAAGGAAGAGCAAGCAGCAGGTACCGACTTGGTCACTTGCTTTTGGACCCATCAAGCAAGTAGCGTAGGAAGAAGAGCAGCAGCAAGAACAGCTGGGGGCAGAAGGCCCACTCATTCGGGGAGGGGGCCCATTGAGGGAGTCTTGCCCAAGAACACCCCCTGCCCCCCAAAAGCCTGGCACTGGTTTCACGGCTGTCTAGAGGTCAAATTATCCAGGTGTGCCTGGAATCTATTCCACTGTTCACATACCACTTCATCCCTGCTGAAGAAGCTTAAGGCCCTGTTTTCCGTCAAACTCAAATTCTATCTATTTTGCTTTATCCAGTAACCAAATATTTTTGGCCTTGTGCCACATTCTGGCACCCTCTCCAAAGGTTTGGCTTCCCTGGAATAAAGCTCCAAGAGGAACGATGTTTTAAAATTTGAAGGGCCTTCTCTGTAATGGCGCCCCGATTGTGGGATTCGTTCCCCAGAGAAGGTTCACCTGCTGCCGTCTCTGCATCCTTTTTGGCACCAGGCCAAAACCTTTTTTTATTTTCCCAGTGTTTTAAGACCTGACTGCTTTAATTGGGTTTTTATTATTAGTTGAATTTTTAGGACACTGTGTTTTAAATTTTTTACATTTTGTATTGTTAAACCATCCCGAGACTTCGGTAATGGGACGGTCTAGAAAGGTTTTAAATAAATAGATACGTAAATAGGCAGCAGGATCTCAGACTATGTTGCTCTGGACAAAACTACCCAACAACAGCATTTGAGCAATTAGCAGTTGCACAGATGTCTTCTAACGAGTGAAATGAATTGGTGTGATGATCCAGACTGAGATCTGGGCTTTCTCTCCTGTGTGAATTCTGTTGTGCTGGCCAGTAATAGGAGTCCTTGTCCAATACCCCTGGAGACAAAACAGTTTGCAAAGAGAACCCACTGAAACGGTTTTTCTCTTTTATGGATCCTTTCTCACTTTCTCGCCCCACCACCCCAAAATAAATCCCACACTGAAGCCATCTGCACTGTCCCTGTCGAGTGTGGATTTTCAGGTGTCTTATTAATGCTTCCTTCTAGCCCACCAAGTGCTTGTCAGGTCTCTTTATTTACGGCTGCTCTGATATTTGATGAAATTATTTCTCTGATCAAAGCTTCTCCCATACTCAGAATGCTCATATGATTTCTTGCCTGTTTGGATTTTTGGAAGCTTATCAAAATACTTTCTTGTATTTTCTTTAAACACAGAAACAGAGCGAGTCAGAAGGGACCTCCCGGGCCATCTAGTCTGACCCCCGGCTCCAGCCGGCTCTGCTCACGACATGCCCTATACGATTTGGGACTTTCAGAGTGGTCCACTCCAGTATTTCATAACAAATACCAACACATACACATTCTACAATGCTTGGGCTGCTGTTCCTGAGCATCTACTGTAGAGGTTGTGCTAGTGAAAGCTTTAAGATGGCGTGGGCCACATGTTGGTCACTGATACTGCCAAATGTAATATGTGTGGGGAGAACATCATTTTTTTCCCTTTAAAAGAAGGGACATGGTGATGCTTAAACCACTGGAAGTTGCCCACTCCTTTTAAAAACCTGCAATTTTTAGTCTCTCCTTCTGCTGGTTTCTTCTCCTTTGAGCTCCAGTCTTGGCTTATGAAATTGAACTGTCAGAGGAATGTTACCTTAGGATATTTTTGCTCTTTCTGTGAACTTCATTCTTCCTCTTGAGAGTTTTCTTTTTTGTTGAGGTGGTTCTTTTATCATTTAGATCACCTCCTTTCCCGAGTACTGCAGCCTCCATCTTTTTGCTCTCCTCTAGCTGATTTAGGCTGTTTTTGCTCATACACACATGTCTTCCCTGTTTGTGTGATTCTGTTAACACCCCCCCACCCCATATATGGAACTTTCTGACCACTAAAATCCGGCAGCCAAGATTCAGAAGCAAGTCCTAATGGGCCGCATCCTCATTCCCTTGAATGACTGGACCTGGATAAAGGGGGCAGAATCAAGTACTAGGGACTTTGCTGGACACAGAAAAGATGCAGGGATCATGCCCATGGGGGGGAGGAGCAGAGAAAAGAAACAAAATCACAAATTTGCATATACAAATTGATGCATACTTTGGATCATACAGATGTATCTTCTAAGAACACCGCCATTTGTAAAACGGGATATATGAAGAAGAGAGGGGAGGACATGTGGTTTCAGGAAAAAAATCTCAGACCAAAAGATTCAAAGGGGGAGCAGGAGGATGTGAAGCACATTTGGCGAATCCAGGGGAACCAGCTGCATCAGAAATTGACAGGGCCCCTGCACCTGCATCTCAGTAAATGCCCGTGGACAGTGGAACTGTAAGGCAGACGGCCTCCCAGAGTTTGGGGGACCAGGTGGAAGATTCAGGGCTCCAGCTCTAGTAGGGCTACCTCTAACGCAGCCCCCGCAATTTGTTTATTTATGTATTTATTTATTTCAGTCTGTATGCTGCTACAATACCCCACACCTGGGCACTTTGTGCAGCTCCCAACAATGTACCTGTTTCCACTGCTAGTGCAAAATGCGCTAATCACAGACCGTTATCCTCACAAGACGTTCTCATAGCCTCTTGATGAAAAAGTGAAGATAGGAACAAAGGTTTAACTTTTGATTTGCAGCCTGATCTCGAGCATGTTTAATTATCACTGCCTGGCGCCGTCGTTATTTGTTTTTCGGTGCCAGGTGAAGACCTTTTTATTTAAACGTCATTTTAATTGTTAACAATATTTGCTTATTTATCTGGCCAGGGTGACTTCTTTTATATTGTTATTTATTTTATATTGTTAATTTTATATTGTTATTTTTGTATTTTATTGTGTTGTAAGCCGCCCCGAGGCTTCGGCAAGGGGCGGCATAGAAATGTTTTAATAAATAAATAAAATCACCTTGCGATTCTCCATACCCACTTCTGAGGGGCCGAGTCTTGTTGAATGCAGCAGAAATCTATAGGATTCTGTCACACAGTATGCTAAATTTGATAGGAACTACTCTGGAGTACGGATACATAATTTGATGCACAAGTTGACAACTCTCAGAGTATCCTAGGTGTCAACAACTGTGTGTGCCTTGGCCACGTCCTCCCCCCGACCCCCCCGACCCCAGCAGGATGCATCCTAGCCACTCAGTCGCCACTTAGATGGTAAACAGATATGGAGGAAATGGCAACAGAATCAATTTGTTGATCGATCAATCAATCAATCAATCAATCAGACAGACCGATCAATATCTAATCAATCAGACACTGGAACATTTTACAGGGTGGGTATGGGAATGTAGATGATGGCTAACCACTCCACACCCACTTCTCAAAGTGGGCCCATAGTTCAGCAGCAGCACCACCACCACCACCCCAAGTATGAGAGCAGAACCCATGTCACGGATGTGCTCATGCCACCCTGCAGGGATGGCCTTGGCACTGGGCAAAGCAAGGAAGCCCAATGCCAGCAGTTGCCAGAGGGCGAACAGCAGCCAGGAGATGTTGGAGGACACAGCTGAGCTTGTCTGTTCCTTCCCAGGAGCCCCGAAAGCTGCCGCCCCCAATGGAATGGGAGAAGGGTCAACCTTGTCCTTCAGGTCAGGCAGCAAAATGTTTTGTTCCAGCCCTGCTAATCTGCATTTTTTCTGAATAGAACTCTTCGCATGCTCAGGACCTTCGTAAGGACTTTGTCCCCTGTGAGTTTTCTGTTGTCTGATCACTTTATCACTCCAAGAGGAGCTTTCCCCACATTCCCAAAATTGGAATGGTCATTCTCCTGTGTTGGGATCTCAAGTGTTCCCCTACTCTGGAGCATTTTCCTACACTGAGAGCAGTTATGGGGTCTATCTCTGCTATGGATTTGCAAAGGCTTTATCAAAACTCCTCTAGCAGCAAAACTTTTCCCACGTTCAAGGCATTTGCAGGATTCCTTTCTAGTGTGGCTGCTCTGATAAACTCAGGAAATGAACTGGCAGAGGGAAGCTTTTCCCACAGGCCGGGAGTACAATGATATGATTTTTCTCCTGCTTGGATTCGCTGATGCTAGTTGTGATGTCAATCTTGTTGCATGTTTCCCTCTGATGTGAGAAATTCATACTGATAATCTCATGCATAATTTTTATAGCGTCTCCCACCCCACTGCGATATTTGGAGACTAAGGGCTTTTTGGCACCGTACTGCAGTACGGAGGCGTTCATTTCAGGAGCTCTAGGAAACACTAGGAGCGGGTAGGATCCATTCTCTCCCTCCACTGGCTTCTTCCCCCATTCCACATTGGACTCACATCTTTGCTCATGAATTGCTGCTGCCACCGGAATGTTCCACTGGGATAATTCTGCTAATGTCCCAATCTCGCCCTCCTGAGAGCTTCCCATCTCGATCTGACTTCTATTCTCGTCACCTGAAGAGACAGAGAGAGGAATTTTGTCTGTGCTCTGGTCACCTGTTACCTAGATTACTTCAACCGGCTGGTTCCTGCCCTTCCCTCCTATTGAATGTCCCTCCCTCCCCTTTCCAGCTGGTTCAGGAGACATTGACTACACTAATTTTCCTTTTTGCCCTTGGATGCGGTGAATTCTAGTGCTGGTAAATCAAGGAAATATGGCTGATTTGTAAAACTGCTCCTACTTCATGGAGAAGGGGGAGTTAAAGGAATTAAGTCCAGGCATGTCATGATTGGCTTCAGAAGGGCAGCTGTTTACTGACACTGTGGCCGGGGGGGGGGGCATGAGGAGGAGGTCTGAGAGAATGGGATGAATTGGTCCCTTCAGTCCGAATTAGGCTGGCTATTTCCCCTTAAAGAAAGAGATACTGAATTTGCATACCAATCCCCATAACATTATTGCACTAGGCCAGGGTTCCTAAAGACTTGAGGGGTCAGCAGGCACTTTTGGAATGGTGAAAGTATTGCTGGGGTTTAGCATAAAATGGCTGCCATGATGGGAATGGCTGGTCACAAAGCAATCAATTTTTGGGAAGCCAGCTGGTGAGATTAAAGGAAAAGTAGCTTGCCCAAGAATCAAATTATAAGGCAGAGGTTGGGGTCAGGGGGAAGGAACTGATCTTCCAAACACAAAACACTCTTCTGAATCCAAGTAGGGATAGTTTGGGGGTGGGGGGGTAGCACTTTGCTTTGTAACAAATCAGCCTTCCAGTTAAATACATAATTTAAATATATTAGAAAGTTTAAAAAAAACTGGAGGGGCAGAGAGCCTGGTACTCATCAAGAAAAGTATCCCTGGGAAACTGGCATCCATGGGAACCATGTTGGAGACCTCAATATTAAGGGCACAGGATGGCTTGCTCGCATGAGTCACCTGGACAGAGGACTGAGTGGTGGTGGTGGGGGGGGGAGAGCTCTGTTTTCACTCCTCACCCTTGTGTGATCCTTCCCAATTAAAGAAATTTGTACCTGACAAGTCCCACACCCAATCCTTCCTCCCTAATTTAAAGTCGGCCCTTCTGACCTGCCATTAGTCACGTTCGGCAGCCCAGTTGTCTGGGCATGGGGAAAATGCCAGAGATCAGAAAACACAGACTTTGAAAAATCCTTCAAATCTGGTATGTGTAGTTTGGGAGCTAACCTAAGGCTTGTGCCTTAGAGGTCCGACTCATTGCTCAGTGGCAGAGCATCTGCTTTGCACACAAACGCTCCCAGGTTCAAGCTTCAGGGCTGGAAAAGCCTCCGGGCCGAAACCCTGGAGAGCTTCTACTCTCATGGACTGGGTTCAGACAACATGGCAACTCACATTCAAGGGTTGAGCGTGAGTTGTTGAACCATGGGTTATCATGTGGTCTAAAACCATCTGTGCTAACAAGCCATGACTTGTTAAGTATGAACAGCCCGTGAAGATAACCCATGGCTTGATGTCGGTTATGAACAATGGGTTGTTCACTGTGGTTTGTTCAGACAGCACAGTAACACATGTTTCAACAACAATCCATGGTTCACTGACAACTCTCACTGAACCCAAACTTGACTCTTTCTGTGGCTTGAATCCTGTAATTGTAAGCAATATTGAGCTACACAGACTGAAGTAGGACTGTATAAGGCAAGCTCCCCACAAACCAGAGGAATGCAGCATCCTCACAAAAGGATGTTTCTGTTTCTCCAGTCCGAGAATCCATAAAGTTTCTCTCCTTTATGGATTCTCTGAAATTGGTCAAAGTATTATCTTTATTTATTCATTATTTTATTTTAAAATTTTCTATACCATCTATATTTCCACAGAAAATCTCTAGATGGTTTACAGCAATAAAAATATCAGAACAATTATCAGTACTTGATTAAAATAGAATTAAATCAGGTTTATATTAAAATTGAGAATTAAAATACTGGTTAAATAAAAAGGTCTTGGTCTGGTGCTAGAAAGAATAAAGAGTCGGTGCCAAATGAACCCCTCTGGGGAGCGTATTCCACAATCAAGGTGCCACCACCGAAAAGGCCCTTCTCCTTGTAACAGCCCTCCTCACCTCCTTCAAGGAGGGATCTTGGAAAAGGATCTCTGTCGAAGATCTAACGCTCCAGGCAGGTGTATACAGAAGGAGGTTCTAACCTGTTTAGGGCTTTATATGTTATTGTCAGCACCTTAAAGGCTGCACCCACTGCGCCAAACAGCTGCCAGAAACCACTGACAATGTACCTTACCAAAAAACCACGACGGTAGGCATATTGCTACAGCGGCATCCATACCCAGAACCGCCCTCATTTCCCACAGTGCCCCTGGGCACATGTGGGTGGATCTGGCTTGCAGGCACTCTGCTGGGCAGCACACTTCCTGATGTAATAACTCTGTAGAGCCATTCTTTCAGCACAAAGCTACATTTGTTCACACCATAGTTAAGTCCCACTGCGTTGAGTAGAACTGTTGCCTTACAGGTTAAGTCTCTAAACTCACTGAACAGCAGACATAGATCCCAGGTGGAATTCCCAACATTGTCAAATGAAAATACACCAGGAAGTAGGGCTCAAAGGAATTGCTGCCTGCAAACTGGGAGACTGAGCAAACAGTGCTAGGATCTTTCGACCAGTGGCCCTATTGGCACGGGGCAGTTTGGTCTCTTGCCGCTCAGTAAGAAGCAACGGCTTTGCCAAAGGAACATCCCAGCTTCAACCTCTGGCTGTGAAAGTCCTCCGTCTTAAACCCGGGAGAGTGACCACTGGTCCCCAGAGTTGGTACAGAGCTAAATGGACACATAATCTCACCAGTGTTGAGGCAGCTTGCTATGTTCTAGCTCCTGGGGCAATATAAAGGCAGGGCTGTTTCACTGCCGAGCCTGATTCCCTTTGTTATGAGAGAGTGCACTGGAGACTGAAGGTGTCTTTTGCAATATCAGTTTATTTCGAAATGTACAAGCTGTACAAGCAGAAGCTACTGGAAGTAAGGAGGCCCCTAAAAACAGGCAGCACAACTCCTGATCTTGCATCACAGCCCCAAGGAGAGCAGCTTTGCCCCGGGTTTAGCCAACTCCAGCTACAAGCTTGCCCGGTGCAACCCTATAGCTCTCCACTCAGATGTCAGCGCCACTGGGCTCCAGTGATTCCCAGGTATGTTCGTCTCAGTTTTCAGCATCTCTCTTTCTCACGTTCAGACTGGCTGCTGCTTTGCTCTCCCTTCCACTATCCAAGTGCTATGAAGTGACATCAGCGTCTTCTGGTAAAGCCCCCAGCCACATATTAGCTATGCTTAAGGGGCCAATTCTAAGTCATCGAGGCAAATTCTTAATAATATGCTGAAGACCACAGACTAGGATGTGGGATTAACTTCAACTTCCTGAGATCCTATGTTTTCACTTAAGAAAGGAAACAGAAGTGTGTGTATGGAGCTCTTGTCAGCACAAGTGCAAAGTGCACAGAGACGGGAAGGTCTCAGAAGCTGAGCTGAGCAACTCATCCAATGCGTAGAGCCATGAGCTATTTCTATGCAGGGCAAAACCAGAATGAAGCTGCGGCCCTATTCCCAGATACTTGGAAGAAAGCCCAGCTCAGAGGGACTTTCATCGGGGCAAATATGCCTAGGATGGTGCTGCAAGTCCTGCCAAGTCCTAGAAATGGCAGAGTACCTGCTGCAAAACAGGAGGAAAACGTGTGGCTGTATAACATACACGGGTTTGCAGACTACAAGTCAGGCACGTGAAAAACCTGGGTTATTTTGATTCAGAATACAGGCAGTCCCCACGTTACAAACATCTGAGTTATGAACATCCTGTATTTACAAACAGACTGTCAAAAGGTCCGTTGGTTTTTAAAAATTACTGCAGAAAATTGTCATCCCCATAAAGAGAGAGAAGGGGGGTGAGGGAGGAATCTAAAGGTTTTTTCTGCCCTGTGCATCTGGAGAGGGAAATCCCTCCAGCATTTCCTTGCTGCAAAGAGGAGGCACTGGTGAGTTTGGACGGGGGGGGGGGGGGGCTAGAAATATTCACAGTTTCTCAACTTTCATGGGGGTCCTGTGCCCCTAAGCCCCGCAAATGTGGAGGGCTGGCTATACATGATCCGATTTTCATACAAATTCGACTTAAAGAGGAAATTTCTGTTTTCTCAGGAATGGAATCCGTTCATAACCCAGGGACTGCCTGTATCAATACTCCTTTTAGCTCAGGTTGCTACAATCCTGCTGATGGGTCGCTAACACAATGGAAGTTACTACTTGAAGTTTCTCGTGTTGGATGTTGGCCTTTCAGAGTTTGTTAATGTCCTACGTGGCTCTTCTGGTGATTTGCAAGGGTGCCCTTGTGACTAAAGCTTTTCCCGCACTCGTGGCATATATAATACTTCTCTCGGCCGTGCGTCCTCTGGTGCCTAATCAACTCATCGCTCCGAGAGAAGCTTCTCTCACACTCGGGACACGCGTGCGGCTTCTCTCCGGTGTGGATTCTCTGGTGCCTCATCAGATGAGCTCTTTGACTAAAGAACTGGCCACACTGGGGACATTCAAATGGCCGCTCTCCGGTATGGATTCTCACATGTCTAATTAATGTTCCTCTAGTAGGGAAGTCTTTCCCACATTCAGGACATTCATATAGTCTCTTTCTCAGCAAGTTCTCTCTTTGATGGAAAGTTTTCCCACCTTCTGAGCGTTCATACGATTTCTCTCCATTATGTATTCTCTGATGTCGTATCAAATTTTCTCTCTGCCTGAAGCCTCTCCCACACCCAGAGCATCCAAAAGGCTTCTCCCCTGTCTGGCATCTGTGATGGTTTGTCTTTTGCTGGACATTTCCCCCCCACATTGGATATTCAGAGTGGTCCTCTCCAGAACACTTCATTAAAAGCCCTATGTTGTAGTGGTACTTCCTAGTATATTTGGAGACTAAGGGCTTTTCTGCCCTAGAGTGTGGGGTGGAGGTTTCGCTACAGCGAGCTTTAAAACCTTCTATAAGTTCCCTGGATTCTTTCTCTCCCTCCACTAGCTTCTTCCCTTGTTGCCCTTGGGACTCACATCTTTGCTCAAGAGTGGCTGCTGTCACCGGAACATTCCATTCGGACAACTCTGCTAATCTCCCAACCTGTCTTTCCTGAGGGGTCCCCATCTTGATCCGACTTCTTTTCTCATCACCTGAAGAGACACAGAGAGAAACATTTGTGTACATTTTGGTCACATTTCTAAGCTCATGCAACCTCCTTCTTGTTGGGCTTCCCTCCTGCTCTGTCTCTAGTTGAGTTACCACATTGCTGGTAAAAACGCATCTTCTTTTCTATCTCCTTGACCATGTCAGCTGACACCTTTTTTACATTCAGTGCTGTGTGCATTCTGGCCGAAAATAATGGATTTGTGCCAGGGTTTTGTGGTTAAAGTTCATTTTTCTTCCCTGTCTTTGTGATTCAGTTGACTACCCAGCAAAGCTTGGAGCTCAGCCCTTATAGGAACAACAAATCAACAGCATTCACCTCCAGTGTCTTTATTTGTAACTAATTTCCCCTGCATTCTGAAGACTTGTGCTTATGATCATCAGTTAAGCCCAGAGTGGGAAATGTGTGGATGTGGCTGGGTTTCAACACCCCTGAGCCAAGCACTGCCAAGGATGAGGGGTGTTGTAATCCAGTGACAACTGGAGGGCCCCACGTCCCTGTCCCCGGGGTCAAAGTCAGCTTGCTACATCTTAAGAAAGAGGAACCTGAGAAGTTGGAATCTGCACAAATTCAATCAGAAACAAGTTAGCAAGCATCAGAAGCTTTGTCAAATTCGTCTTTATGAGGGAAAGTGCTGACAAGGGGAATGACGAAATTTGCCAATTACTTACATGGATACTCGTACGGCTGATAAACACAATATTCCAACTGAAGCTTTCACTACTTTAGATATATTCACCTTATTCCGTCTTTTGTAAATTCTCTGTTTTCTGTTCAATAGATACTTCGGAAATCTGAATTTCGCCCCTGAATAGGCACATAACCTTTTGGCCTCATGTATACTTGGCATGCTGCTAGGGTTGCTGGCAAAAAACATTTGCTTGAGAATTTGGGACAATTGTGGGTCAGGGGACCCAGTGGTAGGTCTTTATATAAAGCCGCACTGCATGTTCTACTTTCCGGGGAAGAAGAAGACAGAGCACAAAGGAAATAGTGTTTTACAGTTTTTTCTTTAGCCCTAGCCAAAATCCACGTAGTCTTAACTTCCATCAAGTTCAAGGGAAACTTACTTCTCAACAGATATTGTTCGGTGCCTCTCAGTCCCATGAGTGGTAAGAACTTGGCTCCAGGCCAAAGAATTTGCCTTTTCATGGGATTCCTGGAGGCATACCATGTTTAAGATGTGGCATTTGTTCAGTGCAGAGTACAAGCTAATTGTCCTACTACTTATTAACAATTTGCTACTGATGCTTTCGGTGACAGAGCACCGAGTTCTCCACACCAGTCTCTCATGCTGCATCCTCTGGTCCTGTCTGCAAACAAAGCTTTTCCCAGGCTCAAGACTGTCAAGTGATTTCTCGCAGAATTTTGTTTTATTGTTAATCAAATTGTTTCACTAAGCTAAGCTTCTCTCACCGCCAAAGCATGCATGTGCCTTCTCTCTTGTGTAGAAAAGCTCTCTAGTTTCATTCATTCCTTCACCCATTTCTTGCCATTTCACACTGGACTCACATCTTTGTTCATGAAGAGCTGGTGCCACTGGAATATTCCACTGGGATAGTTCTGCTAATGCTCCAGTCTCTCTCACCTTGGAGGTCTCCATCTTGATCCGACTTCTTGTCACATGGCCTGAAGAGAGAGAGAGAGAGACAGAGAAATTTTTGTCTATGGTTTTGATCACCGCTTTTCTGAACTCTTGCAACCAGCTTCTGATCGGCTTTTGTTCCTTCTCCATCTGAGTCAGGATATAACTCCTAAAATTAATCTTTCTTTCATGCCTCTAGGATGTCACTCTGCCATTTGATACTCTTTCTTTTTTTACATGTAGAGCTGTGTGCATCCTGAACAAAATAACGAAAGTCACAATTGATCAGCAAGGTATTGACCCAAATTCCCCCAAACTGTACATGATGCACAAAATACACCGGTCAAGCAAACATGCATGCTTTAACTTATTCTACTTCCTTTACTGTACTCCTTGCTAGTCACAGGTTGGGCCAAGGAGTTCTACAAAGGACTGAAGACCAGACCTGCTTGCCTCTGTTCTGTTAGCCACAATTCACAGACAATTCACAATTCGCTTTCCTTCCAGAGAGGCAAAGACAGAACGGATTTCAGCACCCTCAAAAAAATTGGAGTTCCCAGGGGCTTTGGGCCAGGGTGGAGGGGGGGGGAGCAGAACTGACATTTTTTGCTTGAGGAGAAAGCCATGGCGATAACTGGTTTCCCCTTCACTGAAACCATTTAAGCAGTGCCTGGGTGGCACCATCACTATTTTCAACTGCTGGGCACCACCTTGATGGCTGCTTGGCAAATAATGCAATCTATACAAGTTAATAATAAATAAATGTAATTACTGCATACTGAACAGCAGAACCTATATTTACTCATTTGTTCTATTTATATGCCACCCAACTAGCACTTCTTATTGCAACTGTCGCCCTTGGGGCGATTTACAATCATAAAAAGCTCAGACAACAATATCACTACGAAAATCATGAGCACAACAGGGAAGTACTGATATAAAAGTTGAAAATATGAAAAGACACTATTAAAGAGCCAGCATTAAAGTTGATAATCAAAGTAATATGCCTGCTGGGAGAGGAAATGCTCAGCTCAACATCTAAACGTATGAAGTGAGCATGCCGGTTGGATTTTCCCGGAAAAGGTATTCCACAGATGGGGGTACCGCTGCAGAGAAGTTCTTTTCCCTGGTTGTTCCCAGAAAGAAGTCTCTGAAGAGACTGTCTCTGCAGAGGAGCAGGAACACATGGGAGGAGAAACTCCTTTAGGTGGACGAGTCCTAAACTATGAAAGGGCAGCAGCAACACTGAGCGGAGCCTGGAAACTGACAGGAATCCAGTGCATTTGACACAGCACCAGAGTATTACGATTGCCAGTCTTGAATATCGGAACACCAAGTTTTGCTAGACCGGGGATATGCAATTTGTGTCCCTTCAGTTCTTATGCCCCACCAAAAGTTTCACTGCATCGTTGCCAAAATGTGGACGTGTTAGTTTCCTCCATCCCCGAATGATCTATGATGGTGGCTTGGGCAGTTCTGCAACCTGGTTCTCCCTTGAGTAGTACAAAGTGAAGTTTCTGCCACTATTTCCTCATGCACCTTCCCCCAGGACAAGAATCCGTTTCTGTGGCTCAGCTGCTCTTGGATTGCCATGAAGCCTTCTACTTTCCCCTCCGTCCTTATCCCCAGGCAATGAGAAATGGGGCTATGGTGGCCCCACAGAACTCCTTCCTCTTCCTCCTCCCTCCTCCCAGTAGCCCTGCTCTGTCCTCATTCCACCACTGCCTGTGGAACCAGGCAGCCTCGCATTAGCTCTCAGTGGGCTCTGTGGCCAATGCCCTTGTCTTCATGGGTGTTTTGGCAGAAAGGGGCAAGTGCATCTGTGGAAGTTCTTTTCTCCTGGGATGTATACCATTTATTTATAACGATAGGCCGTGCAGCAGGATTTTTTTTCTGCATACTTAAAGGGCAAGTCTTAAGAGAAGAATGTGCACCTCACACGTCCTTTCATGCAGAACAGTCCAGATGGGCTGGTCCAAGAACCTGCAGAATGTGTGGGTAAGAGAGACGAAAGGCACGACATCCTATAAAGTGCCACTGCAAGTTCTGCTTCCAGGGCAAAATGGTGGAGACAGAAAGTGGTGTACAATTTGGCTTCATCTAAAATCTGTTTATTCTGCTGCAAATTTCACTGGGTTTGATTGAAACTAGCTTTCCCAGTAGATGATAGTACTTGCTTCCCAGTTCCCTGAGCACTGAAAACTTCAAGAGCAATGCCAAATAATTTACTTCTCTTTTAATGAGACTGTTGGAGACTTGTGTTCAAAATCCGGTATTTATTCAGTGGAGAATACAAACTGACTTGCCTATCACTTTCTAATACTATGAAATTTGCCACTGAAATACATTTTTTAAAATAGTGGTGGAAGACAGAGCCACTGTAGGAACAATGGTTAGCATTTGGTTTGGTTTACACCTCCATGCAAAACCTGGATGGTCTTACGTAAGTCCTAGAGTTCATTTTACTCCCAGTAAATATTCATTTTGTGCTGCCCTGAGCTGCAAGAAATTAAAGGGTAACACCTTCTTACAAGAGAAAGCACTGGAGTAATATTTATTCACTGCAAAGTACAAGCAGCAGGTTTTCCAACACTTCCTAACACAAATGACGTTCTCGGATAGGACACTGACTTCTCCGAGTACAACCTGTCTTACATGGGTCCTCTGATGCTTAACCGGGGTGTATTTGCAACTAAATCTTCTTCCACACACAGGGCATTCAAAAGGTTTCTCATGGAAAGTTTTCTCCGAGAAGCTTCTCCTGCACTCAGGGTGTATGACTGCTTTCTCTCCAGCATGGATTCATCGAGGTCTTCTGCAGTGTTCCCTCTGCCCAAAGCATTTCCCATATACAGGACATTCATAGGGTTTCTCCCCTGTTTGGAACCTCTCATGGCTTATTTCTTGCTGGAGGTTTCCTTCTTTCCCACAATGCAAATTTGGAGTATTCTTCTCCAGTATGTGTCATAACAAGCATGTGTCATTTATTTTATTTTATTTAAACGTTATTTTAATTGTTAACTTTATTTATTGATTTTAACAACTTTTCTCCAGGATGTCTCCAATATTTTATGTAATTGTACTGATTATATTTATTTATGTTTGAAAGCCGCCCCAAGGCTTATGCAAATGGGGCGGCATATAAGTTCTCCAAATAAATAATAATAAATAACAAGGCCTGATTTATACTGGTACCATCTACAATATGTGGAAACTAAAGGCTTTTTTGCTTGGGAGTGCAGAGAGGAAGTTTCAGTATAGGCAGCTGTAAAGCCTTCTTTTAACCCCCCTCCCCACCCCTGGATTCCTTCTCTCCTTTTACTGGTTTTTCTCCCTGCTCCACAGGGGACTCACGACCCTGTTCATAAATTGCAGTCATTACAGGAAAGGTCCATTTTGCTAATTCTGTTAATGTCTCAAGCTCTGCCTCCTGGGAGAGCTCCATCTTGATCCAATTACTTTTCTCATCACCCGAAGAAACAGAGAGAGGTGCGGAGCGGGGTTGTCCATGAGGGACAACCTCTTTTCTTGGCTGCTTCCAGGCCAGTGGTTCCTAATGCTATCTTAGCATAGCTACAAGGGGAATCGTAATTCACTTTCCACACTTTTGCAAGCACTGTGCTTTTTCTTTGTATGCATCTCATTATACTCTATTCACAACAGTGAGCATGGCTTGGATGCTGTAGGAGAATGAGAGGGCAGAGTTTACCTAAGTAGCCACTGGAAATTCAGCATTCACAGTGACATTTACAGTGGGGCCATTTCATTATTTTGATTTTTTAACATCCCTCTTTCAAACGCAGCCCTAAAATGCATTTTGGGATAAAAACCAACTTTTAAATAAACGGAAGGTATCGTGCTATAATACCATATATAATAATATTTGCATTATATTGTTATAGTGCGATAACAGAAATATTTCATGGTGTTATAGTATCATTATCAATAATAAGAGAAATAATTTAATTAGATGGCTCCCTCAGAAACAACTCAACACCTCTTAAAATCAGAATTTAAAACACCCACAAAATTTAAACAGTTAAAAACAATTCACAATAAAATGTAGATCCCGATAAACCACAGAATTAGGTGCCTACAACTTAAGGCCTGGAAATAAAGAAAATCTTGACCTAGCAGCAAAAATATGACAATGTTGGTACCAGGCAGGCCTCACTGGAGAAAGCTTTCTACAGTCAGGGAACCACCACAGAAAAGGCCCCTCCTTTGGAGCGTTGTCTGGGGATGGGCCTCAGAAGTCGATCCCAGTATGCCAGTAGGTACATGCAAGCTCAGAAAAGTGTGGCTGCTTTTTTTAAACAGATAATGGATTGAATCTAGATTCAAGAGGGATCAACTTTACTGGCAGAAGTAGACTTCCTCATTTTTCACTTCTAGGGTGGCTCCTCCAGCCCACTGAAAATACTGCATAGGAAGTCAGGGAGACCTTCCGCAAGGCAAAGTCCTTCCTCCCACACCAGGCCCCTCCACTAACTGGAGGCAGATTCTGGATCCAACCCTACAGCTGGAAAAGCATTTTAGCACCAATTAATACATAGATAGAAATAAATATAAATGGTATCTTAAAACAGTGCCTGAGGCAAAAGCTATGCTCAACTGTGTGCTGAGCTGTGAGTTCACCTGCATCACACCTCATATTAAAATCCCAACCCTTTAAAAAGATGGAAAAGCGGCACTAAAAGAATCTACACTTGTCAAGATGGAACTACACTTCCACTTTTCTGAAAGAGAGAAAGAAATCCTCAGAGTTTCTGCATTCTATGAAGAGACAGAACTGCCACAGAAAAAATAATGAGACAATAAGCTGATCACCCTGCCATGCAGGTACCAAACAAAAGCATGACAATTCAAAACTATATAGCTATCTGTGGAAGCTCCCCAAGACACCTGGGCTCCCTTGTTAGCATTAGCTCTGGGATGCTGCTGTTAAAATCCATCTTTCTTTCCTGCCCTGCTGATCCTTGCCAAGTGACACCCTCTTCTTTACATTCGGGGCTTCACATTTCCCAGCAAACTAATGGAAGTC